TCTTTACTGTCATACACAACAGATAGATTTCAAACTGAGTTCTCTAGAGCCTGAGAAGTAAGTTTCATTGGGAAGGCCCAGCAGAATCTTAAATTGGTGGAAAATTGTTTTAACTCCCGCAGATCCCACTATTAGAGGAGGTACTGTAACGCTGAGCTGTTTTAAAGCATAAGTGCTGTACTTCTGAAGGTTTGCAGAGAGAGCCTCTGTAATCTCTCCGGCTGGAAACCTTCGTTCACTGCTTTCCTTCCCTACTCACACCCCTTTCTGTACCTATCTTAGGTCCACGTTCATTAGTTACAGCACCTACAACACGGAAAGACAGCCACCCATTTGTCAGGCTATTATAATGTGGTAGCTACAGTGATGAAAGATAGTCTACTCGTATTTTAAATATCACCAGATTGACTCCTAGTGGACAGTTTCAATGGACCTTCCAGTCTAAGATGAACTTGAAAGAAAAATCTGGTGTTCTCCTTCCAAAAATTAGCAGCAGAATATTGTCTGATTTAGTACCCAAAGATGAGACCCCCGAGGTTGGAATAAACTCAAAATAACACTTGGGAAGAGCTGCCTCATCAACACTTTGATGTGGATGAAGTAAAGCTTTGGGGACCTTTATTTTCTTATTGGACAGGACTCAAAATGAAAAGAAATACAGTACCTGCAAACACTCATTAGTAATTGGAATATGGGAAGTATGAATTATGAATCTAAGAAAATTGGATATCATGAAAAATGAAATAGAATGCATAAAGATCATTATCCTGGGCAGCACTGAACTCAGATTCAACATTTTGAATCAGACAGCATATAGTTTATTATAGTTTATTATGCCAGGAGTTGAACATTGAAGAGGAATAGCCCTATGTTCATTGTCAAAATGAACCTTTCAAGATTCACCCTGCAGTACAATGGCAACAGTTTGAGGATAACATCTATATGTCTGCCAGAAAAATCAGTTAATATGACAATTCCGATTTACCCACCACCTGCTAATACGAGGAATGAAGAAGTAGGAATATTCTAGTTATTGAATATTTTTACCAATTTCTGTAGTCAGTCTGAAATGAATCAATTAAAATTCACTGATAATTACTGGTCACTTGAATATGAAATCTGGTAACAAAGAAAAAACATCTGCAGTTGGAAAATATGGCTGTGGTAATAGAAAGGATGCCAAATATGACATGGTAGAATGTTGAAAGACCAACAACTTAGTCATTGGGAATGCCTTATTTCACCAATATGAATGATGACCATGTGAGTACATGTGAACACCAGATGGAATAGACAGCAATCAAATGAACTCTATCTATGGAAACAGAAACCTTGGGGGCAGAACATGGAATTATGCCATAATGTTATATAGTATTATGGAATATTGTACTGCATAGGGCAATAAGAAGATGAATTCCTTAAGTTAAAATAGACAATAGGTATAGCAAAAGACTGAAGCATACAAATGATCCTGAAAATATTACAGAATCAAGCAACATTTTCAATTCATAACCACTACACCATGGTTGCTAAAGGTGCCAGCTATTTGTACCCAGTCACTGTGATTCAGAATAGACTCAGAAGCCAACAGGGTCAATTGGTTTACCTGTTTTCTTTTTTTTTATTCATCGCATAAACTTTTTCACTCATTTAATACAATGGAAAACCTGTTTCATGGTTTATTGTGTGTCTCCTCAACCTATAATACCACTATGAGGGTAGGGACCTTTATTTATCATGCTTTCTCCTATATTCAGCCACCTAGCCTGAGATCTGGCTGGTTGAAGAGACTTAGTCAATTTGGATGCATTAGCAAGGAAAAATATTGTAGGCACATAAGTACTCAGTGTTTGTTTTTGCTTTCTCTGAAAATTTTCTTTTTTCTAAAGGAGTTCTTTTTACCTACCTTTTCCAGGTACTTCCATTGTGACTGTAAAGGCTTTGACTGCAGACTCCAGTGAGGACAGCATTAAATATTTGATTTTTAGTGGGAATGAAGATGGAGCATTTTCCCTGTGCTCCAACTCAGGTAATCTTCTCTGCTTGATAATGGTTTTATTTGCTAAAAGTCTTATTTTCTGCTCTTTTTGTGTTGCTAGTAATAACTACTTCTGTAGAGGAAACTCAAAATTTTTGGAAGATTGAAATTATGAAAGATAAATCATTTCAAAAGTAAACAATCAGTTCATTTGTTTATGGTAGCTGGTAAGCCATTCCTGGAAATAGAGAGCTATGCATTGTTTATGTATACTCTCTGGCAATTTTTCTCATCCCATTTCCAATGTAGACAGCACCCATTCCTACCCTTCAATTTTTTTCAGAATCATTTTATTGGGAGCTAATACAGATTATCATATCATTCCATAGTTCAGTCACATCAGGCAGTATTGTATAATTGCCACCACAATCAGTTTCAAAATATTTTCTTTCTTCTTGAACTCCTTGATAGCAGTTTCCTTTTGCCCTCCCCCACTGTGCCTCACAAGTACACTTGTTCTACTTGTTGTATCTATTGGTTTATCAATCCTGGGTTTCATGTATTAAAAAAACCCCAGAAAAACATACAACAAAAAAATCAAGATAAACCCCTATGAAAAAGAAAAAACAAAACAAAACAGAAAACGTTGAAAATAGATCAGGCTCAACGTGTATCAGAGAGGAAATCAAGTCACAAGGTTTTAACTGTCCAATTCAGGTTTATCATTTTGATCTCCTATAAGTCATCTCTCCATCCCCTTACCAGAAGGGGCACGGGGAGGAGATGAGCCAATCAGGTTGTAGCACAACACCAAAGAAACATACAACTTCCCTCTAGTTCTTTAATACTTCCTCCCCCTCACCCCCCATCATGATCCCAATTCTATCTTACAAATCCAGCTAGACCAGAGGATGTACACTGGTACAGATAAGAGCTGGAAACACAGGGAATCCAGGACAGATAAACCACTCAGGACCAATAATGAGATTAGCAATACCAAGAAGGTAAGGGAAAGGTGGGGGAGAAAGAGGGAAGGGAGACATCGAACAGTGTAAGACATGAAAAAATAATAATAATTTATAAATTATCAAGGGTTCGTGAGGGAGGGAAGGGGAAATGAGGAGCTGATACCAAGGGCTCAAGTAGAAAGCACATGTTTTGAGAATGCTGATGGCAACAATTGTACAAATGTGTTTGACACAATGGATGGATGCATGGATTGTGATAAGAGTTGTATGAGCCCCCAGTAAAATGATTAATAAAAAAAGATGTAGGGTCTCAGAAACCCTGTACAGGGTCTTTCTGAATCAGAGTTGACTTGATGGCAGTGGGTTGGGTTGGGTTTGGAAAATGTTGATTGTGGTGATAGTTTCGCAACTCTGTAAATCAAGCAAAACAATTTGATTAGATGCTCTTTAAAAAAAAGTCATCTCTCTAGTATTCTGTTTGGTAACCAGCCATTGGAAGCCCCCTCCTTGTATTTATTCTTCTACTCTCTCTGGTGTTCCTGGTGCTCCCTTTGTGCCTCTTTCTGAGCAGGTTATTCCCATTCCTCCAATTATGGTTAGACTAGAGGGAAATCACCCGAGGCTTATTCTGTGTAGATCTCACAGATGTATTTTGGGCTTCCACTGTCATCGACAGCCTTTGCAAACCAGAATCTCACAATTTAGTCTCTGATACCACCCCTCCCTCATCTTTGAATTATATGATTTACAACCCTTGGGTCACGGATGTTGGTGTGCTTCCTCCACATGGATTTAGTTGACATCTCACTTCGAGGGCTGCTTGTTTGGGATCAAGCTTTTAAGAACCCAGATGCTATTCTATCTGATTAGTGGGCACCATCTATCAATTTTTTAAAGATTATTTCGTTTCTATAATTTGCCCATGTATTTGTCACAATTGGAGCTGTAGCAGGGATGTCATTGATATTGAGTTTGAATTGAAAATAAGCACACATGTCTAGCCGTGGGGAATTTTCATCAGAGAGTCTTCTAATTCGCCACTGAATGTCAACAATGCAACAAAAAAGGGCAGCTGGAAAGGTTTCTATGTGGTGGTAAAGAATTGCTTCCAAATACAGCATGTATTAAATTTAGCTTTATTAAGACCATTATTGTGTTTTAAATGAATACCAATTGATTATTTGAAACATACTCTTTTGACTAACAACCATGTAGTAGATACACATCTACTGCTTCATTGTCAAACCTCAAGAAGAATGTTTTTAATAATTTCTATATTGCCTTACAATTGCCTTGCTTAATCTGTGCTACATGCACATTAGAAGAGCTGAGAGGGGGTACTTTCTTAAGTAAAAATCCCTCCCACCCAGAGTGCATACAACCTTTGGGCCGCAGGTTTTCAGAGGCAGCCTGTTAAAAGTCTTCAGGTCTTTACCCCATCCCTGGGTGGTAAGGAGGCCTATTGAGAAAAAGGACAATTTGTGAGCATCACCCACCACACTTTTATGCTCAGAAAGTCCAGTTGTCTGAGCACTCTTGGAATATTAAAATGCTTAGGAAGAAAGGTGAACAACAGAGGTTGCATATTTTCCCAGACTACTGAAATCCTTCTGCTGCTTCAGTCCTTCTGATGTGGCATGGGCTTACTCTTACTTTTCCTAGAGTCCTTACCTGAAATGCAGGTGAGCCTTGCCTAGGACCAGTCCAAAGAGACCTAAAGACGGGCCTTGGGCCTCGGCTCATACCTTCCCTCAATACAAGAACACTTTGTTCTAACGAATTGGCGTTCTGTGATGTTCATCCACCCCCACCCCCAGTACACGATCACTGAAGACACACTGGGTGCATAAGCAGATATGATGAAGGCAGAGGATGGTGCCTGGCTACTAAAAGATACAGTGTCTGGGGTCTTAAAGGCTTGAGTTAAACAAGCGGCCATCCAACAGGGAAGCAGCAAGCCCACATGGAAGAAGTACACCAGCCAGTGATCGTGAGGTGTCATCAAGACCGGGCAATGGGCACCAGAAAATTCACAACAAACGGTAAACAAGCAAACAACCAAAAATGCATTGGTGAGAATGGAGTGGAATTGGAGCGGAGACCCAAAGCC